GTTTTCTTAAATATTCAACTCGTTCTGAATTCACATCTTTGATATCCGATTTTCAATTCAACAGTCAAGCATATGTGAACCAAATTAGAAGTCTCCCTATTACACCCCTGATAGGCCCTTGTTACATATCTATGCGAACTGTAAAGCAGTTCGGCAACTGCATCCTCCAAACCTACCGGGTTGCCTAGAAAAAATGCAGCACTAGTTTTACTCCTTTGTCTATTTTCTACATGAAAAGCGCAAATGAAGGCCCCCGTACCTTGCACAGCGTTTGAGCCTAGTCTTTAGTGACGGATCGAAGAAGAGAGGCTACCAATATGCAATCCAGGACTAAAAAGTCCGGTATAGTTTTCTTGACGTGTAAGCGTATTTCAGTAAAATCAGTAGCACAGTATCCTCATACCGACGTTCCGGGCGATGTGCGTAGTACAACATGGCATGGCGATTTCAGTTTTTTCCTTTTGATTTTGAAAATATGCGCATAAGTAATTATTTCTTAATAAAGCTATCTGCCTAATTCTTCATTTAGTCAGTTAATTTCGTTTTATTCACAAATGATAAATCTTAGCTCTGTAATTATTTGCAGTGTGGCTTGGACAACACAGAAAATAATGTCAGGATTACCGGCACTACTACTACAACTACGAAAATCTGGAGGATACTGGGATCTACCTGTCTGCAAAAGAAAAGATTATGCCATATCTTTTTTTTACTTTAGAAGCTAGCAATATTTTATCAAGAATTTGCACAAATGAAAACGAAAAACGTGGAAGTCGAAAAGGATAATATACAACTAAAAGAACTTACAATGCGCGGGTATGGTACCCTGCCATACGAGAAAATCTCCCAGAGCAGTACACCGAATGACCATATGTCACTTTTGGTGGAAAATTTCTAAAAGTACAGTTACGATAAATTGACGTAGAAAACCAGTGTATTTATGGTTTTTTTATTTTCGTTTTCAAGTGCGCTGAAAAAGCTTTTCACAGAAACTGCTTGCCACATGTCTCTGCCAAATCTCACTTTTTGACGGCTCGTCAGAAATGGAAGCTTTTGTGTACAGCCCGGTGAAACAGCTTTCGATAACTCGGACGTATATCGATCGATCGATTTTCCCTCTTCCTCCCTCCGTACTCAAGAAATTCGCAAATTTCGTACATTTATGAATATGCGTGCCTTCGGCTGGATGTTACTGACACATTCTCAAAAAGCTTACACTGTACCGAAGAGCTTCAGGTGCAGTCCACTTGATAGGAAATTTGCTAACACCACTTTCCACAAGTTGGCACTCGTTCACATTTTTCGCAAGTCCAAAATCACTGATTTTCGCTCTAAGTTCATCGTCCAACAAAACGTTTCTCGCGGCCAGATCGCGATGTACTACGTTCTTCAACTCCAAAAACCTCATACCTTCACAAATATCCATTGCAAACTGTGTTAGCTGCACCTTTTCCAGTTGGTGACGTCCACGTGAACGCAAAAAATCGACCTGTAAGATCCTTCCAGTGAGAGAATCCATGCTCTTGCGATGCTGTATAAAGCAAAACGAATAGTCGAAGAGAAAATTAAATTGAGTCTTTCCACAACGTTCTCTCAAATTTTGATCTATAACCAATAACTCACTCGAAAGTCCGCGAAAAGCTGTCAAAAATTGGAGAATGTGCTGCTTATAATAGTAGCAACAGATATTATATTTATGCAGGTCTACATTCTGTTGCAAAAGCTCCAAAGGTTTAGTGATTAGCGCGTAACGATTTGAAGAATTAAGATATAATAAACAAGAAGAATTCGATTTCCTTTCGATCTACGTTCTTTGCAAAAGGGCTCCGCTCGCTGCAACTACCCAGGAAAGCTTTGCACGTCCACTAGGCAATCGATTATCATTATTATTATTGTTGTTATTGTTATTGTTGTTGTCACAGTTATTATTATTGTTATTACTTTTGTTACTCTCTTACTCAACTTTTTTTCCCCTGTATGCAAGAAAAGGCTAAAACACAGCCACCATGTGTAAGAAAGAGCCTTCCATGCTGTTCACAATCTGACTGCTTCAGTTTTCCAATGCACCGTAAATCAAGTGAGTCGCGGTTCCTTTCTTCAAATGAATTACAAAGAACGCCTGAACTGCACAGCATAGTCCTCCAAAGCTAAAAAGACGGACTTGAGAGATCGAGATGCAGCTGTGCCAGGCGATTCTATCCACAAGCTGCTGTACTTCTTGGCCATATCTCCATTCTCCAGTCATTCTCACTCCCTCCCGCTACTGCTCAATTCCAGAGCATCAAGAAGTTGCGCTACAAACTAATGAACAAATTGAGGTCTGATTGCAAAATAAATAAAAACACACGAGATTCCCATTTGCCATATATTCAGTAACCATTAGAATTTCCCGGGCATCATCGATCACTACACCCAGCAAAGCAACCAAATTTGTATGCTTCAGACCTCTGAAAAAAAAAAAATTTTCTCTCTGTATTCAAAAGTACATTAAAAAATTCAACAAAAAGCGACCGTATTTCAAAGCTGTTGCTTTACAAAAAACATTGGAAATGTTTTGTCTAATCTGTTAACTTCCTGTCCACTGCTACCATATCAATAGATATTTGGAAAATTTGGATCAGCTAAAAAAACTGATTTTGCAACGTTGCAAAACTGGAATTGACAAATTTTCCAGTTACTTTGATCAATGATGCATAGTCTATGGTCAGTCTGCCGATTATATTGATTTTTTTTTTTATTTACTGCGCCCATAAATGTTTTTGTAACAAAATAAATGCAAAAAAAGCTTAAAATTACAAATGAACGGCTATTCAGTACTCACATCATAAATTTTGCTTCATCCAACAACGACTGCACCATGGCATTACGCTTCAGCACTTTCACTGCAACTCGAAAACCATTGTAATCCCCCAGAAGAACATCTGAAACATTCAAAACTGTAAGTTATTTGGATTTTGAAATCTAACCTGATGAGGTATAGAGAGTTTTCCCCCGGTGCGAAAATGTGTACAACTGTAATAAGGAATTAATTAAAAACCAAGTTTTTGATAAATTAAAAAGTAGTTGTTTTCTTGGGTGGATATGTAACATGCAATTTTGTTCCCATTGACCGAAACCCATCAATTTCAGGAAAATGAGAAAAATATTATCACGTAAACCACAAACGTACGCCTCCGCAGATAGATACAATAGCACACACATACACACACACCCCCTAAATGCATACACACATATCTACATTCAAAAATAGTATTTCTAAAAATTTTAATACAGTCCTTTTTGACGAATCTTTTTTCAATGCAAAAATCGATGAACAAAACCTCCAAATTCTCCATGGCCAATTGTGTCGCCGAGACGCAAATCGCCACGACGAATCACCAACGATGCTTGCTGAAAGAGCCGTATACGGTCATCGAGAGATTCCGAATCCCGCGCAATGCGATATTTATCATTAATTATTGGAGTCACAAGGCGATGACACAGACCATCCGCGTCACGTTTGTAGTGCTGAAAAAAGATGCAAATTTGATAAAGAACCAATTTTATAGTCAAAAACAGGCAAGAAAACCCTCCGCATTCATTCCTTTTGGGAGGGTGGAGGCATTCGAAAGTAGCCCGAATTACAGCACGCATCAGTATCAACCTGGCAAGGCTATTTGTTGTCCATGGGTCTATCTTCCAACGATTTTTTTTGGAGTAAGCTGATGGCGGGTCTGTCTTTCTGACGTGAGTTAGTTCCAACATCGAAACGAATGAGCAAGTCGTAGAAAAGGACTGCTTGTTTCTAGAGGCGTAGAGCAACTGCTCAATTCATCCAGTAGGCATAACGAACGCCAAAATCGATAGCAGGATGACCATCAGGGGATGGTCAAAGAATTACAATTAACTGAAATACTTCGAGCGAGTATTATTTCCTGAGTAGTCTTAAAATATTTGTTTTGCGTCCGAAATGAACTAAGTGCTCTTAAGATCATCGAGTGAAATGAAATGATGTTCAGAAATATATGATGGAAAAAATTTGCGTTTACCGCTATTAGCTGTGTTAAATTATCGAAGTTTTCTTCATGATCGCATGTTAATATACCGTTCAGTTGATAAATCCTATAAAATTATCACAATTAGCGCCGAAAAGAGGGTTTTTATTGCTCGGCACATGACACAATAACATGATAATCCATGGTGTTGAATCAAATGCTAAAATTTTCAAACTTCGTCTGTTTGTTCCGGAAGAACTGTTGAGGGCCAACCTCATATATCCCACAATTGAACCTCTATGAAGGGAAAATCAGGCCCGCCAAAAGGTTAACCAACGGATGACGCAGCATTGGAAACTCGCAGTCCGAGAATTAGACCATGAATTACAGCTGATCCAAGGGTAATTAAATATGAAAGATGAAGATGCACAAAAGTATAATCACACACACAC